AGTGCCTGGTATCTCTCCTTCTGACCTCTTGAAGGTCCAAGAGAGTCACACATTACTTTCCAGATGTATTCAATGTTTAATTTTGGTTTTTCAAGCAGGAGGGCACGTGCACCTAGAGCAACCTCCATCAGCCATGTCCTGGCTGGAACCGGAAGTCAAAGCCTTTCTCCTTCTCATTGGTGCATTTTGCATTAACCTTCCGGCCTGCGCATTTGGATGGAGCATTCATAAAGCTTGGATGTTTGCTACAAGTTTCTCAGCCTTACAGAAGCTTGGATCAATTTGTCCGCATTCGCAATCGGACAATGAATCTATTGCAGGACGCCACAATGCAGCAGGCGATTTTTTGAGCAAAGATACAGCATGTTACCCTGATTCATTGGCCGATGCATTTGCAGAATTGGTTGATCCGCTTTTGTCTGACCACCATGCCGATCTAGCATGGCCTTTTCCCAATGCAATTCTACCCACCAAAGGGTATGATGATTTTCCTAAAAGCTCTGAAGACGGTGGCGGCCTTTTCTCCCTGCCGGACTGGAGTCAAAGCAATCGGCAGGCAACAGATTCTCTTCACAATTTGCGTGTTAAATGGCGACAAATGATTTTGGATCAAAGATTGGATCGCCAAATATTGGCCTATGTTGCTCAGGGACCATCACCGGACCCACCATTTTCTGAGGAGACGCTGCAACCATTTATGAACGAACTTAATCATTTCATTCGACTGCATGGGCTGACTCCGGACTGGTCGGTACGTGAACATCAACCCATGCGATTGGGCATTCTGGCGGCACTGAGCACGATCATGGGCGACAAAGACACCACATTATTTGGTGAGCTACAAGCCGGAGTCAGCACTGGATTCAACCATGACATACCATTGTCACAATGTTTTCCTCGTAATGATCGACAAGTGGACACCACCACACTGTTGTCCGCGCACATGTGCAATTGGGCCTCCGCTGAAAGCGATTTAGAACTTACCCGATCACTGGTGGAAGAAGAAATATCGCGCGGCTGGGTCGACAAATTTGATGGAGATCTCTCTGATGCGCAAGCTGCATTTCCCACTGGAGTGGCCATCGGCAAACTTGGAGTCGCCACCAGTGACTCCAGACCACCACGTTTAGTTGTAGACAATAGCATATGCGGCCTCAATTCGAGGTGCCATATACCTGAGAGATCAACGCTGCCGACCGCAAAGGATGTTTTGCGTAGCTACCCTCTCCGAGGTTGCACTGATGATTTCATGGCCATGTCTCTTGACATCAAGTCCGCACATAAATGTGTGGTCTTACGTGAAAGTGAAAGAGGATTGGTCGGCTTCACGCTGGATGGCGTCCTGTATTTTTACAAAGTCGCTCCCTTCGGGGCATCCTTCTCGGCAGCGTGGTGGAGTCGAGTAGGTGGATACCTACTACGTCTGATGCACCATACTATATGGATCCCACATTGTGGACTGGTGTTCGTGGATGACTACTTGTTCTACCAAATCAAATCTATGATGCCGGTCACGGCTGCACTCCTTTGTATTTTGGTATTATGTTGTCGAATTCCCGCGGGGTGGACATGTCCATCGAAGTGGGACAGCCAACGACGGAGCTCCGCCTCGGAATGTTGCCAAAGTATTTGGCAACACTTCCTGCCATCAGGGAAAGTATTTCCCTACGTTACATCGTACGGTCGGTGCGTTGACCTTCGCTGCGGAGGAATGTGTTTCCTCCAGGTAAATGATCGCCTTGCAACAAAAGAGCAATCCCAAACTCGAAACATCACCACTAGGGGAAAGTATTTCCCTACGTTACATCGTACGGTCGGTACGTCGACCTTCGCTGCGGAGGAATGTGTTTCCTCCAGATTATCACCCTGCGGCGAAAAATGACAAACCCAAACTTGGAACAATTCAAACCCATGGCCCATGTCGGTTATTTACGAATGCTTTGGGGAATGAATTTCCCTATTTGATTTATCCGGGAATGCATTTCCCTCTTGGGTACGTATTACCCTAAAGTTTCCTCACCGGAACATGCTGGAATCACCAATACTATTACCATGGTCCACTGGAAGAGGATATCTTCTCATCGAGTGGGATGATGACCAGCAACTGCTGGCCCAAGCTGGGTACCTTCAAAGCAAGGTTTGGGGTAGATCGTCCAATGCAATTGGACTTCGTGTGACGCTATGGAAGATTTGGCACCGCGGAGGGGGTTGAGAGCCCGATGGCATGCCATGGCGACGGCTTTGGAGAGAAGTCGGAATCAGGAAACCCCAGCCTTGGATGGAGACAGTTGTGGGGGCTGTGAGAGCTTGGGTCCCGTCACCCCTACAGAAGATTTGTTTGGAGATGGACAAGAGGCTGAGGCCGAACGTCAGGTCCGGCAGAGGTTGGCTGATTTGGATCGAGGGATCCAATGTGCAGTGGAACATGTCACGCCGGAGGAGCTGGAGACCTATTGGGCTGCACTGCCCGTCACGGTCAAGGAGTTGGTCATGATGAATGGTGAGGTGTCAGCTGACCTCCTTGCCTTTCTGGCTGACACCGACGAGGACCGCATGGGCCTTTTGATGCAGCATGGATGTAATGAGGCAGAGGTCCGAGACAAGGCGACGGTCCTCGAGGCCCTGCAGCTGGCGGCAGAGGAGAAAGCAGCCCGGTTGAGGAGGAATAGGGTGGCAAAGAGAGGAGTCCAGATGGCCTTGGACTTGGCCGAAAAAACAAAGATGAGGAGGCGTGAGGGCACTGGAGAGCTCATGGAGGGTGAGATGCCCACCAAGAGCTGGCTCGAAAAACACTCGGGGGGGATCATGTTGCCGAAGAGGCGGAGAGCTACTGACCCAGGTCTTGAAGAGGACGAGGTGGAAGCGGTCAAGGCCCGGGAACGTCAACAATGGCACAAGGAGGCAGAAAGGGTCGTCGAGTTGCTGAAGGACAACCTGGACCTGCCAATACTCAGAGGAGCAGAGGAGTCCATCGACCCCGAGGAGTTCATGAGGACAGCGATCGGTGGCTACAGAGCCTCAACCTTGAGGAAGAGGCTGCGGGAATGGAAAAAATATTTGACCTGGCTGGAGATAGTTCACCAGGTCAGGTGGCCATCGCGCAGGGCTCATGCCATTGACTACCTGGTTGAGCTCAGATTGACAGATGCGCCTCCCACAGTGCCGCAATCCTTTTCTACTACACTGGCCTTTTTTGAGAAGGCAGGTGGCATCGATAAAGATGCAATGGTGTCAATGGATGTCACCTTCAAACGGGCATTAGATATGACAAACAAAGAGATGGAAACCAAGAAACCTGCCAAGAAGCAGGCGCCCTTGCTGCCAATCAAGGTCATTGCATCCATGGAGATGTTAGTGGTCAGTGAGGCCAATGCCACCTTTGTCAGGTTTGCAGCATGGTGCAAGTTGGTGAAACTCTGGACAGCCTCCAGGACGGATGATCTCCAGGGAATCTCATTGAGAAGCATGAGGTTCACAAAGGCTGGACTACACGGAGTGTTCTGGAAAACCAAGGTGTCCGGGCCAGGGAAGAGGAACAAATTGCTCCCCTTCATGATCAGCAACAAAGTGAGCATCACTGGATTGCCTTGGCTGAAGACGGGCATGGAGATCCTCGAGGAGAAATATTGGTACCCGAGGGACTACTTGGTTCCCACGTACCCTTATGGACTGGAAGGGTTGGAAGAGAAGCGCCCAGCCAACTACGATGACTTTGTGGTCCTCACAAGGGTCGTCTACTCCAAGTTGAAGGAGGTCTTCTATGAGGAAGGTCGTTGGGTAACTGGGCGTGGGCCCCTCTTACTCCCAGAGTTGTATAAGCTCTGGACGGAGCACTCCGAGAGAAACTGGATAGTGTCGCTGGCTGCAGCGTCCGGAGTGCCCAGGGAAGAACGCCAGATGCTGGGCCGATGGGCTGTGAAAGAAAGCGGGGACGAATACGTCCGATCAGCTCAGCGCATTGTTGCAAGGATCCAATGCCTCCTGGAAAGACTCAGGTCGGACCGTGAGTGGGACTTGAGGCACGCGGGACTTGAGGAGGTAAGGGAGCACATCACCAAGGCGAACTACGACGCCGACTCCATTAGGAGACAAATGGAAAAATTGGAGATGCCTGAGGTCTGGACTCCAGTTGGTTCAGATGGGACGTTCCTGGGCCTTATACGGAGGCCGGACGGCGTGAAGCCAGATGAAATGGGGCAGGACGTCCCTGAGCCAACGCAGGAGGACCTGCCGCCAATCCAAGAGCTCATGGAGGAGAGGGTCCAGGCAGACGACATGGGCAGTGAAGAGGACGACATTGATGTGAAGGCAAAGTTCTTCGTGTCCATCAACGTCAGGAGCCGACATAGGAAGCTCCATATCTGGGGCAAATGTGGGACAAAACCTGGACAAAACTTCTCAGCATATGAGCCCCACAACAGCTTGAAGGGCGTGAAGTTCAATTCGATTTGTGGGCACTGCTGGAAAGGCAAGGGCCCGCATGAAGATGAAGACAGCTCTACTACAACGAGCTCAAGTGACATGGACTGAACTGCAGTGAGTTGAAAACAAGGTTCATGGCGAGTAGAGTTGTCATGTGCATAGCTTGCATGATTGGGAAGGGTGCGGTTAAGTATTGACCAGGGAAACCCAGGGAACCCAAAGAAGAGTACTATGACAACACTGGGAAGGACTAAGCATTAGTCCAGTGAACCCGGTCCAAGCGATGGAGTAGCTTGGGTGGTACTCGTGACCCGGTAAAGCATTTACTAGGGGCAGTATGGGGAATTGATGCGATTTCTCTGTCATGATGTGGAAGGAGCACAACGGGAAATTTGTGCATCCGAAGACCTGTGGGGTCAAGAGAAACACGGGCAGAGAAGTAACCAAGCATCATGTTGCATTTCTCCATGCAGTCACCTTTCCTAAGGGCAGGCTTGGGAACTTATAATGTGATGTAGTCACATTACATTGCATGACCCTAGTCGGATATCCGCACGCGGGTGGCGGGCCGTGCAGCCATGCCCCTACTAGCGCTGACGGATGACGAGGTGGAGCGGGCCTTGGACCAGGCGGACTCTGACCTCAAATACTTGTTGTCAGAAGTCGGGGTGCCTGAAGATGTTCAAGCGGCACTTTATCATAGAGGCTTCACCTCTTTGAGGTTGTTCACGGGCATAGATGAAAGCAGAACAGAAGTGAGGGCCGCACTGAAGGCAGAGATAGGCCTGGACACTACCGCAAGCAATGCGGAAAGGCGATACACAGCCTTGGTTCTCAGTGCGTGGGAAACAGCCAGGACCCAGCAAAGGTCAAATGATGAGTCCAGGGCTGAGGCCAGGACTGCTATGATCCCCCGGCCAGTGCCCATCAATGAGCACGCCATGCTGAGGGAGGCGCTGGAAGCCCATATTGGCAGGTTGAAGGACTACGAGGTGCCCTCCAAGAACCTTGTTGCGTCCAAGATGGACGACATCGAGACCAACATGCCAAGAGTCGAAGATTTACGGAACGTATCCTCAATGGAAGATGGAGAGGTCGACCTTTTGCAGGGCAACTTGGATGTAGCCACAGGGACATTTAAGATGAAGGCGGCCAGGAACACAGTGCAAATGCCCAAGACCCCAGAGGAGCTTCGATTGAGGCACAGAAGGCTGGGGGTTGCTTGGGAAATGGCCCGCACCAAACATCGCAACAGAGTTTGGCTCCAGGGGCACCTGATCGAGGCGTTTAGACAATTGTCGGACCATATATTAGGTCGGCATGTGTTTGGGCTAGCGCTCCCGCAAGAGCAAAAACCGAAATGGGAGATTGTCTTGAGTTACGAGCAAGAGATCAGGAAGAAGGCCTACCAATGGGTTAGGCAAGGAGACGTAGCCACTCTCGAAGAAGGCATCCTGCGAGGCATCAAGGACGCCGAGGTGATGAACCTCCACTTCGTAGTTCCAGTGACCACCAATGTGGCAACGAGTTCCTTTGGAGGAGGGGTTCGCCAAACCCAGCGGCCTGCGTCGCCGGCAGCCGGCAAGGCTGCAGGGAAAGGCAAGGCACGTGGAGGGGGCATTCGCCCCACCAAGAAGTTGTTTGTGAAGACCCCTGATGGTCGCCCGTTGTGCTTTAAGTACAACAACAACGCCAAGTGCGCCGCAAAGAACTGCAACTTCGTCCATCAGTGTCAGCGGTGCTTGGGAAATCACCCCAAGTCGTCATGCAGATCAGGCGGCAACGACACAAGCAAAGCAGCCACGCCGAATGCAGGCGCTGGCGACTGAGAGAAGGTAAAGTCTGTTTCACCAATGCAAGTGTCACCCAAGCCTAAAAGGCGCTTCAGGGTACTGTACCTTTTCTCAGGGGCCCCTCGCAAAAGCGATGTGCGCAGCTGTATCCAACAACTTTGCACTGCCAAGGGAGTCGAATTGGAAATGGTTGAGGTTGACCTCATCTTGGGGGATGGCCATGATTTGAATGATGATGAAAAGTGGGAAGAAATTGCAAAAAGGATAAAGCAAGGCGATTTCGACGCCATCATCATGTCACCTCCATGTTCCACGTGGTCCCGGGCAGTATGGTCTAACAAAATTGGACCCCGGCCGGTCCGCTCCAGAGACTTCCCACACGGTTTTCCGTGGCTCAAAGGCGAACTCAAGGAGAAAGCTGCGATAGGTAGCAAATTGGTCTTGAGGTGTGTGGAGGTCTTGGATATTGCTCCACCATACACTGTTTGTGTATGGGAGCACCCAGAAGATTTGGGCCGTTCAAGGAACGGCGTGCCCGCTAGCGTCTGGCAGTTGGAGGAAGTCAGACGGGCAGCAAAGAAGCGACGTATGGAAACTATCGCATTCCATCAGTGCACATACGGTGCAGACTATCCAAAGCCCACAAGGCTGCTGAGCGACGCTCATGGGTTGCTGCAGTTGGGCTATCCAGGATGGCCAGTCCTCAACAAAGAGCTTTACTATTTGGGTCCGTTGCCACGGGCTTGTGGCCATGAACACCCACCTCTCATTGGCACAAATACAAACGGTGGTTTTAAAACGGGCCCAACAGCCGCATACCCCATAGAGATGAACCAGATGCTGGCGAACCTTGTGTTTCTCCATTGGTTCAATCAGGCTCTGACGCCTGCGGAGGGGGTCACCAACAACATGGACGCAGAGCCTGCAGGGGAAAGAAGGGCGGAGGACCCAGCCTTGGACTTGGTGCCAAAACTGGCGGAAACCCAAGAGGCAAAGCAGGCCGAAAAAAGGCAAGGAGCGGCATACGCCATGAGGAACCTGGAGGGAAAGGTCTATCATGATGGAGCAGGACTTTGCTCGGAAGGTAACAAGAGGCCGGCCTTCAGAAAGGTTTCTGCGATGGTCTCGCTCGGTGAGCAGTTCCTCCAGCTTACATCAGAGGAAGAGATGAGGAGGGACCTATACAGGTTGGCGCTGGGGAAATGTAATGACCCTCCGTTTCGGAAGGAGGTGGTCGAGAGAGCAAGGCAGGCCTGGCTGGAGTGCCTAGCAGAGAAATCCGGCCTGGCAGTAGCGGAGCTGAGCGCCGTGGAGCCGAGGCAGCCATTCTTGTTGGCAGCCATTGGAGAGCACTTGAAAGTCATCGAGGACCCAGATGCCGAAGCCTTTTCGCCAGACCCAGGCACCTTCAGAACTGGAGTGCCGCTCGGGGTGCAGGGGATGCCTCGGGTGCCGGCGGTATTTGAAGCCAAAGAAAAGTGGAGAAAGTATGAGGAGGTACCTTGGCCGTCTGACAAGGAAAACTACCTGTCAGCTGCCGAGAGTGCGGTGGCGGTTCAGGGGCAGTTCCGGAAGGAGGAAGCCTTGGGGGCCATGGTGGAGGTTGATGAAGAGGAGGCCAGGGAGCAGTATGGAGACGGCCTCCGCATTGCGGCCCTGGCTGCCTTGGAGAAGGCTGACAATACCTTCCGCGTGGTCCACGATGCTACGCACAACGTGGGGGTCAACTCCCAGATTAAGGTGGAGGACCAACTCAGGTATCCGGACCCTATGGAGATCAAGATGGCACTGCAAGCATTGCACCCGGCCACCTTTGTGTTGACAGCTGACGTTGCCCGGGCTCATCGGCTGGTCCTGGTGCGTAGGCAGGACTGGGGGTACCAGGCGTGCCGAACTGGAGTCGACGATTCGGGTGAGCCTAGTCGGAAGATCTGGCTTAATACTGTGGGGACGTTTGGAGTGACGTCAGCGTCCTATCACTTTACCCGGCTGTTTGCCGCGGTGAGCAGGTGCGCACAATCGCTGCTGGGAAGGCGTGACGTGTGCCAGCTTATTTACGTTGACGACCTCTTGTTCATTGCTCATGGCCTTGGAGGGCTCGCTGCCGTGTGGACCACGCTCCTCTTCCTACTGGTAGCAGGCACACCCTTTAGTTGGGGGAAGTGCAAGGGAGGAACCCGCTCGGAGTGGGTGGGGTTTCAGATTGACATCGCAAGGTGCGAACTGGGCATGACCGAGAGGAGGCTCAGGTGGGCACGCGACTGGATGGCGAAGGTGTTGGCCAACAAAGTTGTCAGGGTGGACGAATTTCGTTCAGCATTGGGGAGACTGTCCTTTATGATGGCCGCGTTCCCCCACTTGAAGCCGTTGCTAGGGCCACTTTATAGCTGGGTAACGGCGGTGGACCACTGCGACACGCTTCAGGTGCCTGCAGCAGTTCTGATGATCCTCACGTTCCTGAGGAGGACACTTGTCGCGGAAGTGGCCCGTACGAAGGTCCGGCCGCGGATTGAAGATGAAGGGGACCACGCCTTCAGGTCAGATGCCAAGGCCGAAGGAGAGACAGTTGTGCTCGGAGGGTGGTCATGCAGCGATTCCCCAGACCGAGGCAAGTGCAGGTGGTTCTCGGTGAAGCTGGACAGGACCAGTGCACCGTGGGCGCACTCATTGCAAAGCAATGATGATCCCTTTATATGCTCAAATGGAAAAATTTTGTCTTGGACAAAATTAAGCAGTTTCCATTTTGGTAACTTGGAAATGTTGACTTTCCTAAATCCTGAAACCTCAAACTCAAACACTAACAAACAAGTTTCTGAGTTGTTTGGAATCTGTTTCACCTTTTTGCGAGGTATAAGGTACAAGGTGGTTTGTGAAACAAACTAAACCTGAATCATCCCATGTTCAATTTTGGAACATGTTTATGATATTTTTTGGTACCGTGCTCGCCTCAAACAGGGAGGGTGGTGTGGGATTTGACTTACACTTTCGAAGTGTGAGATGTAGCTGGGGGGTCGTAGTTAGTTTGCCAGGGATATACCTGACATTGCCTGTGAGGATGACGGTTCTTGGACACAGGTTGGAAATGTTGGTTTTCAAAAGGCAATTACAGAATACGAACCTTCCATTGGAACTGACTTTTCAGGTATGCTGCCGTTTGCAACAGATCCTACAGAATCGTCAATTTCTGAGAAATATGACCCAGAGGTTATTGTTCAGTCAGCTTGGAAATCACTGCCAAGTCGTGAGCTGGAGATGCCATGGGAGAGTGGGTTTTGGAACAAGTTTTTGGACCCGAATGTTACTGCTTGGGACATGATGACACGTGGTATCAAAAGGCCTGCTCCCTTTCATGTTGAACCGGTGACTCATGATGCACTGGAGGATACAGTAGAGCAACGTGTGATTGCGAAGCAGACTGTTGAGGTCAAAAACTTTTTACAGCATATCAGAGATGTTCCAGAGAAAACATGGCGAGAAGAACGGGAAGCAGTATGGGAGACGGCCATACGTAGGTGGATCCTTTTGTTGGAACAATGGGAGGCACCTGAGGCTCCCTTGACAACTGCAATTCAAAACAAGGAATCCTTTGTCGAGAAGGCTCAGATCATGGTTGACGTTTTTTACAACAAAGCTCCACAGACACTGATGAAGAGGGTCAATAGCCTTGCAAAGCTGTGTCATTCCCTTCATGGATTAGGAGTACGTTTCCCTTGCAATGAAGAGGAGTTTTACTTATTCCTGAAGGGCGAAGCTTCCAGGAAAGCGCCGGCCTCGAGGTTGAAAGCCTTTTTTGAGTCTCTGGTGTTTTGCAGACATGTGCTTGGTATCGAGTCACTACAGCAGGTGGTTTGCAGTCGCAGGTGTTTGGGGGCTTCAGCAAGTACAGCTTTGTCATGTCCACGTCAAGCTGAACCTTTTAGTGTGCCACAGTTGCGAAAACTCCATGAGGTTTTACGTAATGGGCCTGAACTTTGGGACCAAATGATGAGTGGCATGGTGCTTTTCTGTGTCTATGGCAGGTCGCGTTGGTCAGATTCACAACATGCTGAAAACCTGCTGCCTGATTTTGACAACCAGGGAAAACTGCAGTTTTTGGAAATTCAATCGTCGGTGCATAAGACAGCCAGGGCTTTCCACCTCAGGCACATGTTCTTGCCAGTTGCAGCTCCAGCCACAGGTGTGACAGACGACTGTTGGGGTGAACAGTGGATGCGAGTCAGAGACACCTTACGTATCAGCAATCTGTCTGTTTATCCTTTGATGCCAGCACCTGATAGTGCCCTGGAGCCTACTAGAAGGCCTATCTCCACGGCGGAGGCAAAGCGTTGGATACACCATTTGTTGGGGCCTGAGCTGGTGAAGCCTGAAGCAAAGTTGACCAGTCATTCATGCAAATGCACTTGTTTGAGTTTCATGGCGAAACGGGGTGTGAATTTCGAAGACCGTTTGGTTTTGGGATACCACACAAATAAGTTGCGCATGGCCATGACATACAGCAGGGACAGTGCAGCCAGACCTCTGGCTATTCTGGCGCAAGTCTTGTCGGAGATTAGGGATGGCACCTTCGACCCTGACTGCACTCGGAGTGGACGCCTCAAGTCAGGGGCAAAACCTTTGGACAGCAGTTGGACAGCTTCAGCATCTGGCAGTAGTGATTTGCATACAGGCCAGAAGACAGGTTTTGAAGAAGTCTCTCAAGAGGGCAATTTGGTTTCACTTGAGTCTCAACCCGTCCTGCAGGAACAAGGTGTTGAAGGTTCATTGGATGTGGACGAGGGCCACGTCACGACAGACTCCAGTAGCTCTTCTGGAGATGAAATCGCAGCATGGGCCCCAGTGGTAGGACACTGCAGGGTAGAAATACCTGACAGTAAGCGTGTGTGGTTGAACAGCAACACCAAGATGTTTCACTTGTCACATGCTGAGCATGTTAAAATTTTGTTGTGTGGTAGGCGCATATCAAAAAGCTTCAAGAGCTATGCAGAGCCTATCAGGTTTGACGCCGCAAAATGCAGGCAGTGTTTCAGGTTGAAGGACTCGTCACATTGAGCGGTCCCAGAGCTTGGAAAACACGAGAGGCAGCATTGGTCATTACATGTTCAGTTGCTTTTCAGTTTCAGTCGGCACATTGCGTTTGAACATTTTTCATAAAGAAGACATCATGCGTTGTGCAACAAGATGGGCGTCAAGATCACCCTCAGGAAAATGGCTGATCAAGGAATTGCCGTTATCTGTGGTTCAGACAGATGTGGCGATAGGTTGATCAGCTTTTGGTTTTGCACAAAAATTTTTTGGGTCTCAGAAGAAGAGGGTTTCAAATCTTTTGAAAGAGTTGTGAAACTTTTCTTGGGAGACCTCGGCATGAAACTTCACTGCATTTCGGAACTTGCAAAATTTTTAATTTTCAGATTGGTAAGCTTGTCATGGCAGGTAAGTCGGACGCTTGTTTTGTCTTAATGAACACAAACAGGACAGATCAGAGCAGGTAAGTTGTCAAGAGCATCGGAAAGAGCCTACGCAATGTCGCTGGCAGATTCTGGTGCTGCGTTTGAACAACACTGCAGAAAGATCAGCGCCGATGGACACCTGTATGGCTTGCTGACCCGGCATAACATATCGAATCTCAGTTCACTGGCTTTTGCAGTGGGCACTCCACAAAGCCCACCCACAGAGGACCAGTTCAAAGAGTTTGCAACGGGCATCAACAATGACACAGAGATGACATTTGGTGAGCTGGCGCAGCTCAGAAGGCTTCATTTTGAGGCATCGGCAATTGTGATGGCGGAGCTGAAGTCAAAAGCAACAGATACGACTGGGGATGGTGGACGCAAGCTGCCAGTAGCAGAAAAGAATGCTAGGTTGCTGGAGCAGGAAGGCCGTTTGCCTGGCCTGAGGATCAGAGGTGAGATGCAACCGTCATTTGCGCTCATCGATCTGGCAGCACAGATGAAAGAAACAAACTGTGTGACCTGGATCCCACCGAGCAAGTGCAGTAAAAGAGATTCAGAGATACAAAACAGTGTCAAGGAGAAACCAGCAGTCCTTTCACTGGAACAGCAGATGGTAAAACTTACATCGGCTGAAGACCACATAGTGGTGGACACGTCCACCGACCTGCAGCTGCAATGGGCATTGCAACGTCGGGGATTAGCCTTTGACCAATGTGCGTTGATGAGCCACAGCGAGCATGAAATATGGGTACAGAACTGTTGGGGCAGATGACAAGAGATGCCCCGACGGGCTTTGCTAAGGTCACAGCTGGCCAGGCGATCAGAGCAGACAGAGAGCTGTTTACGTTGATGGCACAGGAGCTACAGGGTCCTTTGCAACCTGATGCGCGAGGAGAGATGCCCATGGACAAAAAGATGAGGGAACTTCGCACTGACCCTCGTGTGACAATGTTTCTGTTGCCACTCCCAAAGGCAGCAGCCAGAGATACTGAGAAGGTGCAGACCGCTTCTAGCACTACTAAACCTGGAGCAGCTGCACCAGTCAGGCCGCAAAAGAAGGCACGTCCATCTGCAAAAGCGAAGTCCATGTGCCCACAAGAATTGCGTGACTTTCAACAACGAGATCCCTCTGGAAATGCAATCTGCTGGGCTTTCAACTTGAAAGCAGGATGCAAGAACGAGGTCAACAATGGCCGTTGCAAAAAGGGAGTTCATTGTTGTATGAAGTGCCACAAGGCAAACCACAGTTTGGTTACATGCAGAGCAAACTGACTAGCTCCTAAGGAGCAATTCCGTACAGATGCAGGTTTCTTGAAGAGAAAACTGCAACAGGTGAAAGCGAGGGTAGCAGGAAAAACTTGCGACAATGAGGACAAAAAGTCTTCCGAAGTTTCACAGTCTGGAGTTGATAAGGGACCACAGACAGTTTCAGAAACAACTGACAAACAGTCATGCGACTTTGGTGCAACTTCTTCAACAAGAAGTTCAAAAGACAATTTTTCAGGGTTGCTTACAACTGACCTTCCTTTTGTGGAGGTGTTTGCAGGAACGGCCAGGCTTTGCAAAGCAACGAAAGAGCTTGGCATGGAAGTTTTGCCAGTGGATAAAACCTCAGCGAGGGCCTCACAGATATATATTGCTCAATATGATGTTACAGATCCAGAGCAACTGGAAAATTTCATGGAGGTGTTGCACGTTGAACGACACCGCATAGTGGCAGTCCATTTAGCGCCAGCATGAGGCACAGCATCGAAGGCGAGAGAGAAAGCTGGTAAGCTGGGCAAAGAAGGGATTCAAGATTCCAAAGCCTCTACGCTCAGCGCAAAAACCTATGGGAGTTGATGGACTCGAGGGACTGGACAAAATCCGGACAGAGGCAGCCAATCTAACTTACGCAGCCACTGCTAGGATCGTACGTTTTTGTGTACTTTATGACATCCTATGTTCAGTGGAAAACCCTGAAAATTCACTTTTTTGGCTGTTTCCTGACATGGTCGAAGCAATGTTGTCAGCAGAGGGTTGTAGTATTTCCTTTCATAACTGCATGCACGGTGGGAAAAGAAAGAAACTGACTAAATGGTGGTCAACAAAAGATGTGTTTGCAGAGCTACAAAGTTTGTGCGATGGAAAACATCACCACGCCCAATGGAACCCTGTGCAGCAGGGAACAGCCCTGCAATTTCCCACCGCAGACGAAGCAGCCTACCCGCATTTGCTGTGTAAACGAATTGCGGCCATCCTACTGAAGTACGCAATTTCAAAAGGTGCAGTCCAGGTTGATACACTGGAAAAGCAAGTTGCTACGACAGTGTCAACTTCTCACAGACGGATTTTGGATATGCTACCAAAGGGCAAAAAACTGAAACCTTTGGTCAGCGAGTTTCAAGGTTACTGTTTTTCCTCGTCAACCCGTCGCAAGAACCCGAATCTAGCACCTTTTTCCAACAGCAGCTGAAGGGATCAAACTTGGTGCAACGACAACTTCAATGGGGGAGAATTCGGGTCGTTGAAGATGGGGGCTCAGAAACCTTTGGGTGGATACACAGTGCAGATGGCAAGCACTACCAACTGCATGATAGGCTTGCTATGCTGGAAGGGATAGACATGGAGCAGGAGGTACAAGCAGAGCTGTGCACCCTAGGCATACCTAGGGAACCCTGGGACTTCGTGGACAGAGCGATCAAAGCGGGGCACCCTAGATCACTGGCCATTCACTTGAGTGGGGACGTGATGGAGATGCTGAAGCAAAACTTTGCTGAGGAGCCTTACAAGGTCATAAAGGAGAGGGCAAATTTTCTCAAGCGCTGGACAAACCGATGCAAAGAACTTGAAGCTCAAGAAAGAACGTTGCACAACAGCCTGGCTCCACACTTGCAGGAAGTGTTACAAGGCAAAAGGCTGCGGCTTATGAAAGGTGTCATGTCCTTAAAGGATGCTGAAAAACTCAGAGGAAGGCTGCAGTGGTTTGAGACCTTTGCTGGTGGAAGGGTGGCGCAACAAGCGCTTAGAAGCTTGAGCAGGATGGCCTCTACAGGGAGACAAACTGAAAGACTAACAGGGGATGAGCTCAACACCATACACTTTTTGCGTGCAAGGGTTATCTGTGCTCCCCCCACAAGAATAAGTTCAACCAGTCTGCAGACCTGGCTGATTTTCACGGACGGAGCCTGCGAAGGCGAAGACACGAAGGTGGGCTCGATTGGAGCTGTGCTGATCAATCCTAGCGGCATTGCAGTGGAGTATATTTCGGAAAGAGCCCCCGACTCATGGATGGCAAAGTTCCTATCCATTTCAACTCACCATTTTTGAGCTTGAACTCCTTCCGGTGTGGATCGCACTCGTTGAGTGGGAAGGACACCTTTCGGGAGCGCAATGTGTTTTTTACTTGGATAATGAGGCAGCAAAGGCCTCTTTGGTGAATGGTGCTTCCATGCAGGACAATGGAGCGGAGATCATTCAAGCCTTCGTCTACTCAGAGATGAGGATTCAAGTTAAAGTTTGGTTCGCAAGGGTCCCAACTTCTTCAAACATCTCAGACGGCCCAGGCCGGTTTGATGTCAGCGAAATGGAAAAACATCGCGTTCGACGAAAGGCAATCCACTGGCCAAACTTGTTTCAGAAGATGCGAAGAGATGGATCGAACTCTTGGGGTTTCAAAACGGGATCCTGACTCATCCCATCTTGCGTTGAGAAACAAGTGCTCCGTTTTCGGTTTGGTCGCTTGTCGAACTTTTTCTGGATGTTTCGAATTGCAGCTGAATATTTTCATGTCAGTGAAATTTGGCGGTTTTTTGAAGAGCGCAAATATGACACGCGCGTTTTTCAGAAAAACTGCCCCCTTTATATATAAGCGTTAGAGCGAGGTTTTAATAAGGTCAGTCAACAAGAGGTTACCCTTTTTAAAAAAAGAAACTGCTGGTTTCCATAAAAGCAAATAAGGGCGCACTCATTGCAAAGCAATGATGATCCCTTTATATGCTCAAATGGAAAAATTTTGTCTTGGACAAAATTAAGCAGTTTCCATTTTGGTAACTTGGAAATGTTGACTTTCCTAAATCCTGAAACCTCAAACTCAAACACTAACAAACAAGTTTCTGAGTTGTTTGGAATCTGTTTCACCTTTTTGCGAGGTATAAGGTACAAGGTGGTTTGTGAAACAAACTAAACCTGAATCATCCCATGTTCAATTTTGGAACATGTTTATGATATTTTTTGGTACCGTGCTCGCCTCAAACAGGGAGGGTGGTGTGGGATTTGACTTACACTTTCGAAGTGTGAGATGTACCCGCCCAAACTGCGTTTTCCCCCCCAAAAATTTTTTCCTCGCGGTCGAGCAGACGCACTGCGAGAGCTCTTCCGCACAATCGGGGCCTATCCCCCAGCCGTTTTTCAAAACGGGATCCTGACTCATCCCATCTTGCGTTGAGAAACAAGTGCTCCGTTTTCGGTTTGGTCGCTTGTCGAACTTTTTCTGGATGTTTCGAATTGCAGCTGAATATTTTCATGTCAGTGAAATTTGGCGGTTTTTTGAAGAGCGCAAATATGACACGCGCGTTTTTCAGAAAAACTGCCCCCTTTATATATAAGCGTTAGAGCGAGGTTTTAATAAGGTCAGTCAACAAGAGGTTACCCTTTTTAAAAAAAGAAACTGCTGGTTTCCATAAAAGCAAATAAGGGTATTCGAGTCAGGAGAGCCCTACCGCGCCATAGCCTCTCTGGAACTTTTAGGCACATTGGCGTCGGTGGTGGCGTTTCCCCCACAACAGGGGGCCTCGAGGAAGTACCACCTCTCGGCAGGGACGGACAATCTGGGAAACCGTCACCTGATCTCGAGATTCCTCACGACGAAGTTCCCCTTATGCGTCGTATTGATGCAATTGGCCTGGACGCTTCATAGGATCTGGAGCTACGCCTGGACTGGCTCCCTCGGCTTCAGAACAGGGAGGCGGATGCATTGACCAACGGGGACTTTAGTGGCTTCGACCCCAAGAGACGAGTCGAGGTCAAGCCCGAGGACCTTTTGGAGGAACAATTCAAAGAGTTGTTGGAGCAAGGAAGCGGGCTCTACGACGAAGTCAAGGAACTCCGCAGGAAGAGGAAGGAAGGCATGATCAAGTCATTGCCATCCGCAAAGAAGTCCAAAGGGGCTGACTTGATTGGACCGTGGTGACGCGAAGACGTTCGTTGAAGAGGGGGGTACAAGTGAAGGCGCTTCGGTCTCACGTACTGGGACAGCGAAGAAGTTGCCGGAGACACCTCCCTCGACCAGAACTCGAGCACCCGTCCAATTAAGTGAAGGAGATAAAAAGGAAGACTGCTATAAAGTCCGTCATCCGATTTTAAGGGTAAGTATTACCCAACGAGAAATTGAGAAAGATGGGTTTAGAAGGAATACCGGCCTTTGAGATGGATTGTTAGAAAGAAGGAGTTTGGTCAGAAAGTATTTCTGACCAAACTGCCCGGTGCTTACAAGGTGGGTGTCACGCGGGGTGGACATGTCCATCGAAGTGGGACAGCCAACGACGGAGCTCCGCCTCGGAATGTTGCCAAAGTATTTGGCAACACTTCCTGCCATCAGGGAAAGTATTTCCCTACGTTACATCGTACGGTCGGTGCGTTGACCTTCGCTGCGGAGGAATGTGTTTCCTCCAGGTAAATGATCGCCTTGCAACAAAAGAGCAATCCCAAACTCGAAACATCGCCACTAGGGGAAAGTATTTCCCTACGTTACATCGTACGGTCGGTACGTTGACCTTCGCTGCGGAGGAATGTGTTTCCTCCAGATTATCACCCTGCGGCGAAAAATGACAAACCCAAACTTGGAACAATTCAAACCCATGGCCCATGTCGGTTATTTACGAATGCTTTGGGGAATGAATTTCCCTATTTGATTTATCCGGGAATGCATTTCCCTCTTGGGTACGTATTACCCTAAAGTTTCCTCACCGGAACATGCTGGAATCACCAATACTATTACCATGGTCCACTGGAAGAGGATATCTTCTCATCGAATGGGATGATGACCAGCAACTGCTGGCCCAAGCTGGGTACCTTCAAAGCAAGGTTTCCCACCCGCCCGCACCTAGGGGGGGTACAAGTGAAGGCGCTTCGGTCTCACGTACTGGGACAGCGAAGAAGTTGCCGGAGACACCTCCCTCGACCAGAACTCGAGCACCCGTCCAATTAAGTGAAGGAGATAAAAAGGAAGACTGCTATAAAGTCCGTCATCCGATTTTAAGGGTAAGTATTACCCAACGAGAAATTGAGAAAGATGGGTTTAGAAGGAATACCGGCCTTTGAGATGGATTGTTAGAAAGAAGGAGTTTGGTCAGAAAGTATTTCTGACCAAACTGCCCGGGGCTTACAAGGTGGGTGTCACATTTCTTGGAAAAAAACTGGAATTAGCATCCACTATATCATGGATTGGTTGGCGTTTCCATTTCTCTTCAGGCTTTGTGGAACTTCCCACGAACAAACTGGACAAAATTCGACGCTATTTGCAACAACTATCTCAATCTTCTCGAACCACCAGAAAAGACCTGGAGAAGTTCATCGGTATCATGATGTGGGTCACACAATTATTCCCATACATGCGTATTTGGCTGCATTATTTTTACAAAGATTTGTATGCTATTCCAGCTACACATTTTAGCATTGACAGAGACAATTGGACCTCAGTTGCGCCATGCCTCACAGAGGAATTGATCTTTCATACTCGCCCTTCCAATACTGCAATTCCAGTTCAAGGGAAGCTGATCTCGGTCCGACATCAACCAGTAGAATCTCTGGATGACCTCTCCACACTTCGTCTTTCTGATCGACGTATTTGGATGCGCATTCGTGATCCGAACTCCAACAAACGAACCTTATCTTTGGATACCATTCGAATGATTTCGCTGTATCAATCTTGGTTTTTACATTTACAACCACTGAGACCGATGCGACCCAAGAGTTTTTGGACAGGAGAAGTTGCAGCTGATGCATGCGCTGCTGGACCTTCCACCCAAATAGGAGGTTTTATTCGCGCAGCCAATGGAGAATGTCGTTGGTTTTCTGAAAAATATTCTCATGCAGATTTCATGGAAATCAAGCTCGATCTGGACCCTGACCTCCAGAAATCGATCACCTGTATGGAAACACTTGCGCAACTGGGTATTTTGCATTTGGCAGCACGACATTTCCATGCCACCAGGATGCCGATCAAATTATCATCCTGGAGCGACAATACAGGTGCAGAAGCTTCAACCAATAAACTGTTCTGTACTAGCAAACCACTTTGCTATTTTGTGGAACGCCTCTGTATATTTTCAGCACTTTCAGGCATCGAAATGGATGTACACCATGTCCCCGGCCATGCAAATCAAGAAGCTGATGCGTTGTCACGCATGAACGTTGAACTCGAATGTCCCACAGGTTTCACATTGTCCGACAGGATCCGTTTGCTCCTGTCAGAGCTTTGGATGGAGCGTCCATCTCCTCGATTAGTTCCTACTAACACTAAAATTCCCTGGAAGTTACCAATTCCTTGAACCTCATTTCTCTTGCTGGAAATCATCACTTTCACTAGGGGGTATACTGGGCGACTGATTTCCCCTGATAACTTTACTTGGGTGACAAATATCATCAAGGGAAATAGATCCAAACAACAGTTTGGATCTGCCTGTCCAACATGGATCAATTATTCCAGCAAGAGAAAAGAATAATAATATTAAGTGCGAGTGTGTGCAATTTTAAGTGATAGTTATATGCTTTTGTAAATTATATAGAAAGCAAATGTAAGTCTTAGTAGAACTATACATGTACTTGTTTCATGTTTGTTTTACGGGGCTTCATTTTGTTTCGTGGAAACCATTTTGGCTCTAAGACTTACATTTGCGTTTTATGCTAGGCGTTTATTCAAAAAAACCCACCCACCCACTACCTCAGCTGTTTGTTTCTACTTTATGGTTTCTTCCATGGGAAATACGTTTCACCCAATTGCATCACTTGAAAAAATTCAGTTTCCAAAACTATGAAGGTATCATACCTTCACACCATGGCCACAGCCATATCGCGTACATTTTTCCCTGATCATCTATTCAACAGGAATGGGTGACAAATATCATCAAGGGAAATAGATCCAAACAACAGTTTGGATCTGCCTGTCCAACATGGATCAATTATTCCAGCAAGAGAAAAGAATAATAATATTAAGTGCGAGTGTGTGCAATTTTAAGTGATAATTATATGCTTTTGTAAACTATATAGAAAGCAAATGTAAGTCTTAGTAGAACAATATAGGCCGAAGGAGAGCGAACTCCCAGTGGTAGCACCAGAGCTGACATCGGAGTTGCTCCACTGCCTATCCACTTTGCCGGACCCATGGCCCCTTGCCAAGATCACGATTAACATGGATAGCGTCAGTCAGTGGGTCTCCAGAATGTGCCGTCTTTTCTTTGCTGACGACTACATCAGACACACAGAAGGTACACCCTCTGCTTCGCAGACGCCGAGTATGGAATCAGCGTTTCAAGCGGTCCAAAACGCCCTCCCCAAGCTCGAGAATCGAGTCATAGAATTCCTTGCAGAATGGCTGGTAGCACTCTTGGCACCAGCAAGACATGTCCTAGAAACCAGATCGCCACACCTTTCATTCATGTTGCTCAAGGAATACTGGTTCAGAGAATTATATCTGGGTCTCAAGGTGACTGCCTCCTTTGATCGCACGGAGTCATACGTCCGAGTCATTGACGGACAGGTCAGATGCATCACACCGGACTTCAAGAACCAAGACCTCCATGTTGCATGGAATGGCCAATACGTTGTCGTATTCGTCCCGGCATGGATGATCCCCCCTATGTACCACAGCCTACGCCGGGAAAGTGTCAAAAGCACGGATTCCGGAAGTGTGACAGGGGTCAAATCTATTCGAAGACACAACAGCTACCAGGGGAACTCCACCAAGTTCAGGACAAGGGACACCCGAACCCATGCATGGCCTTCGGCTCATGATCAAAGAGGAAGCATTGATCATCAGTGATCAGCCTTATTTCCCAGCGGAGACAGAAGTGGCCAAACGACGCTTACTTTCCCCAGAAACATGGCAATGCAACCGACCGCGTGTCAGCCTGAAGACCTCGATTGACGTACCAATGCTGGGTGATATAATTGAGCAAAATGGTGATGGACTCCTTGAAGAGTCACATATGCCAGTTGGATGGCCCCTGCACATAGATGGAGCTGTAAGACAACGTTGTATCCACCGCGACACTACACTGCAGGAGCTAGATGATCTGCTTAGCGAATACGATATGAAACGGGATTTGGCCGAAATCAACCGCAAAGCACCCCAGTGGTCGCACAAAGCAGTCTGGAACAAATGGTACATGGAACCGAAAGCGGGCCTCACCTTAAGCCAAATGTGGATCAATGCGGAGGCAGACATCACAAAAAAGACATCAAGGTCAAATGAAATCCAGGATAGCGACCTACGCCGTGTAGCCTCAGCCGTTACTTCCGTGCCGGTGCCACAGATGGCTGACAGCCCCTTCCTCAAGGCACTCGGCACCCCAACGATGAGTGCATACGAATGGCCGAACAATTTGTATCAAGGTCGAATAGGCATGTGAGTTTGTCTGAACATGAATATCATGTGAATCATGTCAATTCATTTAATGTTTGTTGTTTCGGTCACTTTTGCTGGCCCACCCACGGCCACCCTGCAGCAAAAACTGGCCAAACCCAAACCTGGCATTGACCAGCATCGAGACGCCCTTGTTGGAAAAAGAAGTGACATTGCGAGGTCAGCTGGGTGAAGATTAATCACTACTACATTTTTCGCTTGGTTTTGTGTCATGTACTTGTACATATGTGTTCATACTTTGGACCCGGAAATTTCAGTATCTGGTCCGTGGCCATTTTGCTTCAAGTTTCCCCTGATTCGTTTGCATTCTATGGCCATTCGACCCCGCCGTGTGCTGCATCGTGGTCCTGTGGCCTCATATTGCCCTGTTTTTCTACATCCTGAAGTCTCTGTTGCATACTGGCATTTTTCCTCATTCTTGCTTGGGATCTTTGCTGGCTTGCTGATCTTCGGTGTGATCTTCACTGGCTTCCAGGTATGGATGTAGTCATTCCTCGCGAGGAAATCCGCTTTACCATCGAATTCCGTGAAAATGATGATGGACATGA